TAGTAGCCATGTCGTTGTTTGAGTGAAGGCCAAAGTCTGTGCTTGCTAGCTGATTGAGAGCAAGTTGAAAAGTAGAAGTGGTTGTCAGCTTCGAATCCTCGATTCAATGTCCATCTTGTAGCCACAAGAGGAAAAAGAAGAGAACAGAAGCCGGTGGATTGCAGGCGAGCGGATACACCGGTGTTGGAGAGAAAAACTCGCGATGCTTGCTGCTAGCTGACCGGAGTCGCATTGAAAAGTGTTTGGGTTCTCGATTCGGTGTCCATCTTGTAGCCACAAGATGGAGCAAGAAGAGAACTGCCCAGGGAATGGAGGCCGGTAGAATGGAGGCCAGCGGCCGGCCATGCTGGTATCAAAGAGGGGTCTTTGGTTTTGGGTTGCCAGCTGACCGAGGCCGAGTTGAAGACGCAAGTGGTCGCGCGTTCCGAGTTCTCGGATTCAATGTCCATCTTGTAGCCACAGGATGGAGAGAGAAGAGAACTGCACGAGGGTGATGATCTCGGCGGTGTTGGAAAGAAGTTTTTGATTGCCGACTGATTGGAAGCCGCGTAGAGAATTGTCTGAGTTCTCGATTCGATTTCCATCTTGTAGCCACAAGTTGGAAAGAAGAGAACTGTCAGAGAATTATGGTCGCGCTGGGGTTGGGAAGAGATTTTTGGTTGCCAGCGGATTCGAGGCCGAGTAGAAGATTGTCCGAGTTCTCGATTCAATATCCATCTTGTAGCCACAAGCTGGAAAGAGAAGAGAACAGTCTGATAATGGAGGCTGTGTCGCTGTTTGGATGAAGCCACACTGATGTCCGAACGGAAGCTACACACTGCTGTCCAAACGGGAATCAAACAGCTGTCTGAATGAAGGTCATACAGCTGTCTGAGAGAAGGCCACGTCGCTGTTTGAATGAAGCCACGCTGTTGTCCGAACGGTAGCCACACACTGCTATCCGAACGAAGCCGATTTGAGAAGGGATTGTAGAATCCGAGTTCTCAATTCGCTGTCCACCGTGTAGCCGTGAAGAAGAAGCGTACAGCGAGACGGAGAAGGGGGAAGACCACGCCGATTCTGAACGGAAGCCACACTGCTGTCCGAACGAGGAACACGACGCTGTCTGAGTGAGAACCACACTGCTAAACCACACTGCAGTCTGAACGGAAGCCACACCGCTGTCCGAACGAAGCCGAGGTGACCGGAGCCGAGTTGAAAAGTGGTCGTGAGATCTGAGTTCTTGATTCGATGTCCATCGTATAGCTGTGAAGAAGTATACAGCGAGATATAAAGATTGGGGGTTGATCGGAGAATGATGGCCACACCGGTGTCGGAAGTTCTCATTCCCATGTTCGTCATGTAGCAGCTGTGAGGAAGAAGCATACAACACGAGGAAGAATGAAGAAGACAGTCGCAGAATGATGGCGACACCGTTGTTTGTCGGAGAGGAAAGCTCACGCATGCCGGGCGAAGCCGAGATGAGAGTTGAAGTAGTCGTCAGCCGTATCCTGCCAGTGATCGTATGGTTTGAGTCCGAAAAGAAGTCAAACTCGCACACAACGCACACACAAGTCGCATCTTCCACTAGCCAGGCACAACTCTGGCGTAGTAGGGAATGCAATGGTATCGTACTCGTACATAACGCACACAAAAGTCGCATCTTCCACTAGCCGGGCACAACTCCGGCGTAGCAGGAAATGCAAGAAACACGCACACAAAGTCGCATCATCTACTACCCGGGCACAACTCCGGCGTAGTAGGAAAATCAAGAGACGCGTAAGATATTGAAAAGCTAAGCCGACGGAGCAGGCTGGAAATGCGCAGAGTCGGACGACACGGCGGCTGAAATTCCAGCGTTTGCCCGTGACAAAGCGGAAGAGATGGCCATCTCTTCCTCAAATCGAACGGTCTAGTAGTTGACAGAGTCACGGGCTAGACTGGAAATGCGCAAAGTTGAACGACTTGGCGGCCGACAGTCCGAAGACTTGCGCAAAGACGAACTACTCGGCGGCCGACATTCCAGCTTCGCCCGTGGCAAAGTCCTAAAATAACATCTTCCCTAGTTGACAGAGTCATAGGTTAGTCTGGAAGCGCAAAGTTGAACGACTTGGCGGCCGACAGTCCGAAGACATGCGCAAAGACGAACGACTCGGCGATCGACAGTCCAGCTTTGCCCGTGACAATGTCGATAGGGGTCAACCTGCGCACTATCGGTTGAAGAATGAACCAGTCTGGTTCACCAACGCCCAATAGCGCGAGGTGACAAAAGATGTGGTGGCGGCCACAAGGACCGAGCAGGAAGCCGAAACGCCCGCGACGGTGGTGGAGGCAAGCCTCGATCCATCCACGCCGCTGGGCTTGAAGAGTACCCAAGAGACAAATGTCAACCAGATACACAGGAAGACAAAAGCCCAAGGGATGTGAAAGATGACGGAGTCGGAAGTTTCTCCGTCACTTGGCGTGACCTCTTCATCGGCGACCTGGTCCTGCTGGCCGCCACAAAAACACTCGGAGGGGAAGCTGCCAGGAAGGGAGAACGCCGCCCGCGTCTCCGCCTTCTCCAGCTTGGCTTCGAGGACCTTGGTATGAGCCAAGGCCTCCGTCTTCTCCCCGTCTGCGATATCCAGCGTGCCCTGGAGGGCACGCTTTCCATACTCCAGACTCTTGACCCTGCCTTCGGACTCCTCGAGTCCGGCTCTCAGAGCCTTTCTCTCGGCGTCCAACAGCACGATGACCTTGTCTTGGTCAATCATTGCTGCGGCGGACTCCCGGATGTAATCTGATGGCGAGATTACACCGTTGGAGATGCCTGCTGCATCCAGAGCTCCGATCGCGTCCTTGAGCTGTCGCTCGTAGCTGGCGATCCGCTCAGCTTGCTCAAGGACCGTCTTGCTCTTGGAAGCGACGGCATCCTGCGCCCGCCTGAAGGCTTTGGCCATCAGACCCTCCTGCAGCTTGCCGGCATTGCCGGCCATCGCTGCCTCCAGTTGCCCCTTCAGCATCTGGACCTCCTCCCCCAGGGCCTCTGCCCGTCTCGACTCCTCAGCAATGCTCTTGGCATGCTTCTTCCCCATCTCCTCCGCTCTCTTCACCTCCACAGCAATGCTCTTGGCATGCTTCTCCTCCACCCGCGCCAACTCCTCAGCGATGCTCTTGGCATGCTGCTCCTCCAACTTCCTCATGCCCTCGGCATGCTCCCTCTCCTGCCTCTCCAAGGCCTCCCTCAATCCCCCGGCGACATCGCGCCATCCCCGAGCCTCCTCCGAAGCAACCCGTTGCTCCTTCAGGTGCTCCTTCAGTCGGAGCACCTGAACACTTGCTCTCGCCAGAGCCTCCTTCTCCCGTCTGACCACTCTCTTGGTGGCCCGCGAATGTCTCTTGGCGACCTTCGCTGTGGTGGCCGGAGCCACGCACGACGACGAAGTGCTCGAGACATTCTCGGGGCCACTGCCGAGAGGGGTGCCAGATTGGCCATTGGTGGCGGCGTCCTGGCTGCCGCCCGACGTCTGCTGAGCCACGGGGCTCGCGACGGACGGGACGGGGGCGGCAGCGGGAGCGGCAAAGACCGGCGCCGCAGTGGAAGCACTCGAGGCAGCCTGGGGCTGCAGGCTCGAGGCAACCTGACGCTGCGGGCTCTTCTGGCCCGAAGACCGGGATCCGAAGGCGGAGGAAGGGGAGGCATCCGACGTCCCAGGGACGCCGAAGCGGACCTCCTTCTTCCTCAACATTGGCGGAGAGAAGCGGGAAAGCACTCCTCCACCGGAGACAGGGCTCGTGGCAGCCGCGGCAGCGGGCTGGACTTGCGTCAAGCCTTGCGGCTTGACGACCGACGATCCAGCCATGCCGAAGGCAGAGCCCGAGCTGCTGCTCATTCCTCCACCGGGAGCCAAACTCGGGGCGGCCGCGGCAGCGGGCTGGACTTGCGTCAAGCCTTGCGGCGAGACGACCGACGATCCAGCCATGCCAGCGGCGAAGCCGAAGTTGCTCCCCATTCCTCCACCGAAGGTAAAGCTCGGAGCTGCCGAGACAGAGGGCCGGACTTGCGTCAAGCCTCGCGACTTGACTGCCGGCATTCCGGCCATGCCAGGACCAGCTCCGAGGATTCCTCCCTTTCCTCCTCCCCATCCCTCCCATCCCCAAACCCATACCTTCACCAAATGTGAAGGCGAACGGTGTAGCTGCCGGGGCAGCGGGCTGAACCTGCGCCAAGCCTCGCGGCTCAGCGACCGACGGAACAGTAGCCGCGCCCGGGGCGGCGGATCCGAAACCGAAGTCGAACCCCATTCCGGCACCGAACGCGAAGCCTCCGCCGGGGGCGGAGGTCTGCGGCGGCGGAATCAGCGAGTCGACTTCGGCTTCCAAGTCATCCAACGCGTCGTCAGTCCATCCAAAGTCGTCATCCGCATCAGCGGAGTCGGCGGCAGAGGAGGAGGCGAGGTCGGCCTGGGCCGCAGCAGGTGCGACGGCGGCGGCGGCGGGAGCAGGAGCTCCGGCGGCGGCGGCGGCAGCAATCTCGGCATTGGCCCAGGCGGTGGCGATGGATTCGGCGGAGTAAGACATCTTGCCGTTTGGGTTTGAGTTTGGTTGGTGTGTGTGTGTGTGGTGTGTGTATGTGTGGTGTGTGTGTGTGTAGGGGTGTGTGTGTGAGTGTGAGTGGGAGTGTGTGTGAGTGTGAGTGTGAGTGTATGTGTGAGTGTGATTGTGTTGTTGTTGTTGTGTGTGTTTGTGGTTGTGGTTGCGGTTGTGTAACTGAGTGTGTGGTTGAGGAAACAAAGTTGGTTGCAGTCTCCCACTAATATCAGTGCGAAATCAAAAAGGACGCTAAACTAGCGTCGCGTGGTAGCGCAGCCACGTGGAAGAGGAACGAAAGGTGAGAAGGTGAAAATTTCAACTTCCGCTAGCACTAGCGCCGAATTTCGCGCTTTCCCCCCCACACATTCACTTTACGAGTTCACCTTTGCCACCCGGGTGCGCGCATCTATATTGAATGGAGACGAGATCACAGGGATACAATATCAAGCGTTAGGATTGTTTATATATATGATAGCAAAATTGGCAACGCGTTGTCGACGCGATTGCCGTCTGAAATCGGATTGTTGACAATTAAGCGAATTTTCCAAATGTGCACCCACACATAGGGCTCAGGGCTATTGTTTACTGGGGAGGCATATTCGCTCATCCTGCCACATCTATGGTGTACATTCTCGACAATCTGATAGGTGATGCGCGATTCTTTTATACTAATATTCTTCGTATCGGGAAAGGTGTGGTTCTCTCTCTTTCCCAAAAAAATCGAGTTTGGCCGTTTTGGTGTGTGGGTTTAAACCGAAGCTTCGATCTCAAAGGCACGATTAGGGCGATGTCCCGTTCGCGTTTGGGAGGTTGGTATGCATTGGAGCTTTGAAACTTGAGAGACTATTTACTGATGAATTTGAACTAGATATATGCGCCATGAGAAGATGAGGAAGAAGAAGAAGATGATAAGGATGAATAAGAGAATATTTCCGCATAGTACTTGCAGATTATCATTTCAGCACAGATCGCGACATACACTCACTCCACGCCGCCTATGAGGAACTGTTCCATCGACGAGTTCACACCTCTTTACCTTCGCCGACCCAAGACAGGACTGCAATACAATACATACAATGGCTATTACCCCGCGTAGAAGTCCTATTCCAGGACTGGATATCAAAGCTGCTGCGAGCATATGGCGGTGGAAGTCAGGATATCGGAAACAGAGGGAGGACTCGAAAGCTGCTCTTGTAGATCCCAAAGTATCAGTCGATGTCTTCTTGCTCTCCTCTACACCTCTGATATGATAGATCCAGCCAAGTAGTGGCCAAATCCTCACCACAAGGCGCAGCTACTGTTCAGTCCAACGGCTCACGGTTCACGGAAGGAATAGGAATGGTTGAACGTACCGGAGTTAGAGAGGGAGCAGTTCAATGCAATACAATACACTATGTCCCCTCTCTTCTCTAGCAGCATTGCAGAATTACTGACGAATATGTTCCTTGCGCGCCTCACCTCCCCCACCCCCGAGGCGACGCGGCTTTTGGTGATTGGATACCAGCCCTGCCTGCCTGCCAGCCGACCAGCGAGCTTTCACGACGTCGAAACACCACTTTGCGAGCGAACATCGAGGAATGGATTGAAAATAGGACAAGGGATACTATAAGAGGGAGCCGAGAGATAATAAAGAGACAGAGAAGGAGCTGAGAGATCCTCTTCCGGCAGCTCTCGATTCGAGAAGTTCAAGAGAGGATTTGTCTCGCCGCAGACGGAGATCCGCGAAGTAGATGGGTCAGAATAACGAGTAGTCGTATCAATAATCGTAGCAGTAGCAGTAATACTTTTCCCATCTCGTCTCTTCTTCTCAAGTCAGATAGACCTCTCCCTTACTGCCTTAACTTTATATTTCTGATTAAACTCTCCATCTTCCATAAGAGTAGATAGACACACATATATAGCTACAGATATAGATCCCCAGGATTGCCACACGCAAAGAAAAACAAAAAATTAAGAAAAACAGAAAGATGGATTGATTGCACGCACCTGCCCTACCAGTCACCCAACAAGCAATCCTATTTATTTCATGCCTTGAAAACACACATGCACACAGAAACACAAATGATTTACAAACCGCCCTCAGCCTCACGCATCTCCCTCACTCTGTGTGAAGCCTCTGAATCCATACTACCCGATTTGAAAGGATGTTTCTAGTATCTCTTTCAGCTTACACGGACTCTTATCGCAAATGCATTTCGCACTGTCGTTGAAATACAGTTTGTCCGCCAAGCAGCTAAGGACGGGAGTAAAGTGGGTGGGTGGGGGCCCGGGGTAGGGCTGCATTAGTTAGCGAGGGTCCTGTTTTCTCCGAAAAGCTTGATGTCGGTGCGAATTGATTTCATGGAGAGTCTGAGCCGGTATTTGTGGTAATTGATATTGTATGGATTGCTAGGAATTGAAGGCAAAGAGGATGAGTTGCTTGTCTGGATGGATAGATGGTACGTGGACGGGTTTTGCGACATGGGGCTGACTAGGATGTATTTTGGTGGTAGGGGTGGGTAGTGGAGGACTTTTTACTTAGACGAGCCTTGTTTTTAGACAGAGGCAACTAACTTCCCAATGGCCAAAGAGTTTCAAGATATCAAATCAAATAAGAGGTTTCGTAGGTAAAGTTCTCTGCTTCTCTTCGAGAAATTTTAGTCTCGAATATTTCCTTAATTGCTTAATAATATTCTGAGTTGTATGAATATCTATATATTTGTTTACATCTCAACTTATACTATCCCCAACCTCTCCCGGATCCCAGCACAGATACCTCCTAATTCACCCACACTCCTACAAGCCGCGTACGTAAACCGATCCGGCCTCACAACCACAAAGGTCATACCCCCGAGGTCCTTCCCGATGCGATACATATCATAGTACCGCGGCTTCGGCCGGCCTCTACACAGCGCTTCACACGCCGCAAACTCCTCTGCGGTCGCCAGCCGGAACGCAGTAGTAGTAGTAGTAGTAGTGTCGCGTCGTGGTTGTGGTGGGTGCGCATCGAGAGGGGGTATGAGAACTTCTGACTGCTGCACGAGGAAGGTCGCTTCGTCAGCCCGGACGTAGTCGTTCGACAGCCGGTCGATGTCGATGTCCAGCAGCGATTCGCGCGCGGCGTCGACTTCGGCGAGGGATTGTACTAGGACGAGCAGCTGGAACAGGCCGCGCTTGTGCGCGGCGAAGATGACGTCGTCGGAGAACTGCACCGCGACTGCTGTGATTATTACTGCTGTTGTTGCTGCCGGTGGTGCAGAGGTTGGGGCGCAGTAGACCTGGGGCAGCGTGATGCCGCCGTAGGCGTCCCCCAAGAACGAGAGGCCGTCTGCGGGTTGGTAGCGCACGCAGCCTTGCGAGCGGGGGCCCTTCTCCAGGGCGCGGTTGGTCCATGGGAGCAGCTGCATGAGGCGCAGGACCAGCTTCGTGACGAGGAAGGACCAGGTGTTGCCCTGGGTGCAGAGGGAGCCGTTACGGATCGTGCGGGCGAGGGAAACGCGGAGCTGCTGCTGGCGCTCGCGGTACCACCCGGCCAGGATCTGCTCGTGGTTCTCGGTGCGTTCGCGGGTGGTGAGAGCGAGACGCCATGCGAGACTGGAGGCGTCGCGGAAGCCGGAGGAGATGCCTTGGCCGCCGACTTGGACCTAGGGTGTCAGAATAGGGGAAAGGGATGCAGGCTGCCGTGATCACCGAGATTGAGGGAGAGGTAGTCTTCGCTTGCTTACATGGAGGGAAGACGTGGGCCGAGTCGCCGGCGAGGATGACTCGGCCTATAGCCCACTTGTTGCAGCTTCGGGCGGAGAATGCGAAGGGTCTCAGGCGGAGGATCTCGATGCAATCGGCTGGGAATGGGATGTCTTTGTCGGGACAACTGCAAGGCTCTTAGCATAATCTGCGTCTGTGTCACGAGAAGGACGAGGGTGGGATTTACCTACTTGTATTTAGACGCCTCGTGGGTGAGATAGGGCATGACGATCTCCATAGTCCTCTTCTCCGTCGCCATTTCCGCCGCATCCTCGTCGCTGTTCACCACGAACTCGAGCCTCCAGTAGCGTTCCCGGCCGGTTCCAAATCTCCCACAGACCACTGGCCGCTTGTCGCTACAAATGAACCTGAAATTGGGCGGGAAGTAGAGGTCGTAAAGATCCTCGGGCGTGTGCCCAAGCTGCCAGAACGGCAGGTCTGGATGTGACTGCGGCGTAGGAGGAGTGATCCTCAAGTTCAATGCCACCCACGTCTCGTTATATCCGAATCTAACCCACAATCAGCTTCGTCGGTGGTGAAAATGGGGGTAGGAACAGGAAAAGGCTATTCACGCCGAGGCTTGTTCCATGATCACTCCCCGGGGCTCGAGATACATCTTCCTCGTGTAGCCCGTCTTACCGTCAGCGCCCACCAGGAACTTCGCGCGAACCCTCTTCTCCTCGCCGGAGGCATTCCGGTAGCTGCAATATACCCACTCCGCGTCCTCTTCGATGTTGAAGACGGTACAGCAAGATCTAAGCTCGGATGACGGCTGACGCGAAGCTGCGAGACGGAGGTGTTTTTCCAGCACCGGTTGCTCGTGCACTATGACCCCCACATGACCAGTTCCCCCCTCGCTCTGGGAGAGATGCCATCAAGTCAGCTCTGAAGTTAAGAGTTGATCGGAAAAAGAAAAAAGAAGGTCTATCACTAACTGTATCCATGTCGAACTTCAGAAAAGGCCTCTCGTGCAGGTCATTCCGGCTAGTCATGAAGTGGATCTTGCCTATCGCTACGATCGATGGATAGGACGTGCCCGTCGTCAGCAATTCGAATATACTGCATCTCAAGTCCATTTCTCAAAGTACGTACAAACACGTAGAAACCGAGAAACGTACATGAATGGAGTTCGATACATACAAGAGCCCATCTCGGAGTAGATCTTATCATACAACCCAACCTCCTGCAACAGCCTCAGGCCGTCCTCGTCCAGGGTGATCCCACGGGGATCGTTCGTGACGCCGGCCTCTCTCTCCAGGACGATGTTGCGGACTCCGAACCTGCCTAGCAGAGCCGTGAGGAGGGCCCCGGTAGGTCCGCAGCCGACGATCACGACGTCTGTCGTCTCGAGCTCTTCCGGAAGCGACATCTCCATATATATTAAATAGAATCTAAATAAATTGTTATCAAAATTAAAACATGAGTGACGGGTTGGTAAGAGATTCAGATACTGGGGCTGAGCCGAGGATTGATGGAATTCCCAAAATCGGCTCGGGACGGAAGGAAGGCTCGGGATGATTGATATTGATATTGATATTGATATTGATATTGATAGATGCATGATGCGGGAGGCCTTGATGTTTCTTTGCTATTGGACGGGACGATGTGTTTACATGTGATTTACATAAGCCGACTTGATTCTGACATGAGAATCGGTAATAGAATCGACATGGATATGGGCCATCCATAGACCCGAAACTCGTGGGCATCTCGTTGCAACCTGCAGTGCGCCTGGTGCCACGATGCGGGCCGGCGGGGGATGTGGACATGTGGACATGTGGACATGCATCAAGTTGGTGCTACTTTGCCCACCCGCCAACTTACAATCGGGCATTACCGTCCCGCTTACCAATTACGAGTCCCCCAAAGGGAGAGGGCAGGAAGATCCGCCAAGTCTGCTCCATTGATTCAGTATTGATCCGACGTACAAAAGTCTCGCTTACCACTTGTCAACTTCCCCAATTTCAAAACAAACCAACACAGCACAACACATATCCATTAATCTCTTCCGTGCAAAACCTCAGCTGTGCCAGCACATACACATCTATACTCAAATACATAGTGCGCAGAGGCAGAGGATCTGAGATCCATCGAATTCCACGAAGTCCTTCACTTCAAATCCAAAGTCAAAGTCAGGCCGGAGATTGATATACAGTCTCTCTCCCTCCCTCACCCTCGACTCGCCAGAAATGGCGCCCTGGACCCACCTCGTGCATCTCGTAGCGGAAGAAGACGGCCAGCCGTACTACGCACGCTGCACCGCGACGACAGTGCCGCAAGTGGGCGAGAAGGTGGAAACGTTCGAGTCAGTTGCAGCACTCGAAGCTGCTGCTGCTGATGGGACCACGACACCCGATAGGCACGTCGTCAGAGAGGTATGCATTTACATATGAGATGTAGGTATGAGCCACGGCTAACCACTCTGTACAGCTGCTCCCTCCCGCAGCAGCAAACGTCCCCATCATCTGCATCGGGCTAAACTACGCCAACCACGCCCAAGAAGCCAGCGTACGTCCTCCATCCCCCCAGACCCCTCCACAATCCCATCCCATCCCACCCACCCACCCACTAACACCCACTAACACCCAGCTCGAAATCCCCCAAAGCCCCCCCATGTGGTACAAACCCCCCAGCGCCCTCACCGGCCCCGGCCCCATTCCCATCCCCCCCTCGGCCCAAACCCACTTCCTCGACTACGAAGGCGAGCTCACCATCATCACGGGCGCGCGCCCCGCCAAGGACCTCTCCGTCGCCGATGCCGCCGCCTACATCCTGGGGTACGCGGTCGGCAACGACCTCACGGCGCGGTACTGGCAAGCGCCGAGCCTGCAGGCGGGCCAATTCACGTATGCGAAGGCGTTTGACGCGTTTGCGCCTTTGGGGGTTGTGGTGGCGCATCCGGATGTTTTGGGCTTGGGCGTGGGCGTGGGCGTGGCCTCACGCTCGAACTCAAGCTCAATTAAAGAGGGGAGTAAAGAGGGAAGTGAGAGGGAGGGAGAGGGAGAAGGTAACGGAGAGGGAGCAAGTAACGGAGAGGGGTTAAAACCCCCACGAATCTCAACCCGGGTCAATGGCAAGCTGGTGCAGGCGAGCGCGCTGGATCTCCTCCGGGGCCCGGCCGAGCTGCTGAGTTTCCTGAGCCAGGGCCGGACGGTGCCGGCCGGCACGGCGATCATGACGGGGACGCCGGCGGGCGTGGGCTGGTTCCAGCGGCCGAGGTCTAGTCTGCGGGATGGGGACGTGGTGGAGGTCGCGATTGAGGGGGTGGGAAGCTTGAGGAATGTGATGGTGTTTGAGTAGGAGCCGCGTTGAAGGATTGGGGGGAGGGGGGGGGAGGATCTAAAAGGGATGTATGTGACCGAGATAGATGGATGATTTCTCTGGAATAAGAAAAGGCTAAATAATTCCGCTGCGTGCCGTATCGCTCATCGCCGATTCGTTTTCGTCGTCATAATTTGTTTGATGTTAGCATTGATGTTGATCTTGATTGCAGTTTGTTTGAACGATAGATTATTTCCTCCACTGCCTTTTTTTTTTCTTTTTTCTTTTTTTAGATTTTCTTCTTTTGGTGCCTCTTTATATTTATACACAAGAAGTGGGCTTGGCTTGAATCGACTTGAGTAAGCTTGGCTTGACTTGACAGTAGTTGATTTCTGCATCTACGACGTCAGAGTTAGATGGGTTTGAATAAGAGTGACCAAAATGTAAATGCGGATGGATTACTTGTGGTCAATCATATAAATTCAAAAATTCAAAATTCAAAATTCATAATGTCAAATAAAGTAGTTGATTAAACAGCCTAGCCCATTCCCCCCACCCCCCCCCCATCTCAATCCGCCTCCCCAAAGTCCACCGGCAGCGGCGGTCCCCACACGGAAAGCGTATCCGGGCCCGCCGGCAGCCTCGCCACGGGCGTCTCGCAGTTCACCTCGTCCCCATCCGCGTAGTGCTCGATCTTGAAGCCGCTGGGGTCGCGCCAGTAGTCGAAGATCTGGCTGCCGAGCACGTGGCGACCGACGCCCCAGACGGGGGCGTGGGGGCCCGGCTGGGTGGCGAGCCACTGGTGGCCGAGGAGCTGGGTGTCGAAGTCGGAGACTTCGAAGGAGGTGTGGTGCATGATGGCGGGGGGCGGGTGGGGGTGGGGGTGGGAGTTGGGGGTTTGATCTGTTGCTGGTGATGAGGATAGGGATGGGGGTGAGGGTGGTGGTGAGGGTGGTGGTGGAGTTGAGGGTGGTGTTGGTGCACGCTGGATGAAGAGCGAGTGGTGGTCGCTGAATTCAGTGCCGAGATCGACGTGTAGGAAGGCGAGGATGTCGAGGGCGGGCTGGGACGGATCGTAGAGGATGTCGGAGGGGGTGAGGTTGAAGTTGTCGAGGTAGAAGGCGAGGTCGGCGTCGAAGGCGCTGGAGATGTAGCCGTAGTGGCCGAGCTTGTGGATCATGGCTGGGCCGGGCTTGAAGCGCTGGAAGGCGCCTGGCGCGAGTTAGTCAGTCAGGAATCAGTCGTTCATTCAGTCGGTCGGTCTCTCAGGATCAGGATCAGGATCAACAAGTAAATAGTCGGTGTAAGGAGAATAAGCGAGGGTAGGGAGAGGAAGGGGAAGAAGAGAGAAGGGAAGCCGGCAAGTATAGTAAGGTATGAAAAGTCCCACCCACCCTTTCTCTCCTTCATAAACGGATGATTCGCAGGGCCCACGCTGACGACTTGCGCCGACGGCTCCGTGGACGGAGCCGCTCGCGTCTGCTGGCCCCAGAGGAGATGCATCTTCGTTCCGCCGGGCGACGACACCGACACGAGTTCGCCGGCGCCCGGTACACCCACCAGATCCCTCCTGGTGGCCCCGGGCAGGCGCATGGCCTTCTCGAGATCCTCGCGCGACTTCACAGTCCATGCACCGCCTTCGAATGCGCGCTCCTTGCCCAGCACGACGTAGCAGTAGGGATCGACGCCGTAGCCTCTAAGATAGACGGCGTCGTCGTCGCGGGCCTCCTCCTCGAAGCCGAAGGCGGCAGCGAAGGTGAGGAAGGCCTCGGGGTCGGCGTGGCGCAGGTAGACGTGGGAGAGCTTCTGGATCTGGATCTTCTCGGGGGTGTTGGGGCTTGGTTTGATGCGGGTGGACATGGTGGGATCGGTAGGCTGGTGGTTGTTGATGATTGTTGTTGGTGATTATGATGATGATGGCAAGAAATCAAGACTGATGTTGAGATGAAATGGAAGGAAAATCAACGATGCTTACTGTCTCCTGGATTTATCGTATTTCGGACCCTGGGTAAGACTGCCCTCTGCAGAGCCGGCGCTCGAGTCCCGCATACATACACCGAGCTGCAGTTCTGAGAGGAGAGATAAATTTGTCACCTGTTCTTCTCTTCTTATTTCTCCTCTCCGGGACTTTCCGAGACGAAAAGTTATTGGCCGATCGATCGTTGCGGGCAGTGTGGACGTGGAGGAGGACAAGAATGTGGAGGATTGTGGACTAGCGCGAAACACACATTTCAGATAGGTGAGCTCGCAACTCATTATTCCTTGGACTCTTCTTCGAATCTGCTCTAGGTGACTCTATATATGCATCTACATCACATAACAGATGATTGATGGTTGACAGTTTGGGGGTTCCTTCAGCATTGATTGAATCGCCTACCGGGACTTCGGTTAAGACTCAGCCCGGACCGAGTATTGGTTTAAACTCATCACAACACCTGAGCGTTTCTGTATAATGAGATAATCAACGACTTTTCTGTTCCCTTTTATTACTTGGGGATAAATATTAGAACCCTCCGGGCGTTTGAAGGGTTCAAAGCAATATGCTGGATAATCGGATCTTGTTCCCCAGATCATGTTCCCCAACTCATTCCCTGATCGCCGCTGTCAATACGCCGATAATATGTACAACAGTTTCTCTTCAGTGGAAGCCACGGCGAAACGTACCAGAAAAATCGTGTATAAGAAGTGAATGAATGACTTTTGTCTTCGATTTGCAATCTTTCCGTTTGATCGTTTTCGAGATCTGAAATGCAGCCTTTGCTCGATTTTCTTGGCTGCGTACAGATGGAGGAACTGCAAGGAATTGCAAGGAAGAAATGAGAGGTTATATACTTGTTCAATTGGAAGCCATTAGTAGCCTAAATTGTAGCCTCTGATATTCATGGTTACAGACTTGACTGATGGACTGCTGTATACTAAATCAGGCCTTATACCAACCTAGATTCCGGCTCAATTAAACATCTTGAGCTTGGAATATATTTAAACTCACCCATCAACTTGCAACATCCAATGCAACACACCTATTGTGGCGTGGATCGACCCGAACCCCGATTACCTCAGCTCCAACTCGGATACATGGATACATCGGACTGCCTGTGTACATAGGTATTGATTGATATTCCTCTACCCAACGGCCTTTCTAGATGCCGACACTGAACGCTGAGTCCCTATTCGATGGCATCCTTTCACAATGAACAGCGTAACACAAGGCAGTTCCCCCTTCCCTAGCAGCCGCTGCAGTGCAGGCAGAGCGAGCGGGGTAAAGGATTCATCCAGCTCGAGAAAACAAACAAACAAACCAAGCAACCTTGATTCGTCGCAACATCCATCAATATCAACATCAATATTGAAATCAATATCAACAATAACATTAAAAACTAACGAGAACTCGAGAGCAAGATTATCAGGTCCAACTCTTCCATCGTATAGTCTAGTATGATGCCTCTGCAGCAGTGCAGCTACTGCACGCGCAGCTTTAGCCGAGCCGAACATCTTTTCCGCCATGTGCGATCACACACCAAGGAGAAACCGTTCAAGTGCGAAGCATGCGGGAAAGGATACGCACGAGAGTAATCATCATATTGTGGAGGGGAAGAGCTCCGACATATACCCAACGTCAAATCAAGAGATATATATGAATATAGCCATAGTAGAATCGTAGGTGAATAAGGAGGGAGAAAGAGGACGATCGAAAGACACTCGAATGTGTGCTATAAGTACGTATATTGTATTGTGTAGTGATAAGATGGTGCTAGTTCAAGGAAGAACCAACTACTCGTCTATATAAGAGCTTGCACGTGACCTAACCACGTGCCTAGCAAGGCCAGAGCATGCAGCGCACCCACGTGACAAAGGTGCCTAGCATCAGTACTATATACATAGACAAAACAAATACAAAGCCTTAACTCCACCACATACGTCTCCTTTTCGAATCAGACTCGCCTTCGAGTCACCTTTTATCAAGGTGGTAAAGTTAGGTTTGCAAGACGAGCATATGGCCGAATTGCACGGTCGCAATATAGTCTTAAAGTACTACTTAATAATGCATCGCCGGATCGGTGTTAATACGGGGCGTATGTGATATAACAAAGAAGATAAGAATAGCAACGAAAATGCAAGATAATCTCTTAGGTTTAACTCCTCTTTATATCCTTTATAGCTCACTTATTCAACTACAAGAATAATATCAACCCGAGCGTTAGTATTGTCGTCAAGATAAGCGTGCGCCGGTTTAGGCGGTCAAGTAGTGACGCACTGCCGAATCGGTAGTAGCGCGGGGCCTAAAGCGGTAACGTGACAAAGAAAACAAAAGCGGCAATATATACTCGAAGTCTTGCTATAAACAGTACTTTCTTCTTATATCAACCTCACACCCTTCCATCTTCCCTTTAGCATCACCACTTACTAACCTCATCCTTTACTATTATATTGTCGATCTGCTCTCAGTGCGTAAGCCACGCAAGCAGAACTATCGATAATGCTGCGAGTCGGTGCATCTTCTCCGCCGACAAATCTATCAAATGTAAGCGTTGCCGTGCTATTAAGTCAACTTGCATCTTCGTAAGTTATCTTACCCTCCGTCTTACACTCGTTCTGACTCCGATTCGATAGCTCCCCGCAGAAGTCGTCAGTGCCGGCATAGTCTTGATAGATGCGATAACGGCTATAGACAATAGAACTAAGACGGCCGACGACGTTTTTCGTAAAAGCACAGTTGCAAATAACCTTCTAATAAAGACCCGCCGTGCTTTTGCTTCCCGTGTTAGTGATGCTTCCTCCCTTCTTCGGGCCCGTGTCGCCGCTGCTTCCCTTGCCGCCGCCAATGCTAAAGGTCCCTTAGCTAGCTTAAGTCCCGTCCCAGCGTTACGCCTACTTGCCGCCGCTGCTACCGCCGATCCAGCTTCGCTGGACCTACTGCGTCAGATCCTAGCTGCAGTAGATCGAAACAATACTTTGCTAAGTAACTTTCTTAACCGCGTAAGTGTATGTTGCGAACCCTTTGTAATTCCCTTTCGATCTGATTACGATAGATTGCCGAAAAGTCCCCGTCTTTTTCATCCTCATCTTCGGAATCGCTAGCACCTCTTACCGCGAAAAAGCTCCGTCGAAGTGCCCGCTAAGCTTCTAATCGCGGCAATACCGGTGGTTCCTTTTCGCGAGGTTCTAGCCGTAGCAATACTCGTAGTTCTACGAAGGGTTCGAGTCGTAACAACATCGGTGAGACTTCGAAAGGTAAAAGCAGTGCCCAAGGTGCTGCGGAAGGCTCTCGCACTATTCCACTTAGCCTTGAGTTATAAAGTCGAAAGGGTTTTTATCGCGAGTCGGCAGCTTGCTAAGTAATTAATGCAATAGATTTTTCGTATGCTTTTTTTGATCAGCCTCCGAATAAGGTCCGCTTTATATATGTAACATGCTCGTATATAATAAGTCGAAGGCATATAAGTGTGATGACGTAAGGCTCTTTAATACAAAGAAAGAAATAAAAAGAGTGTAAAAAGAAGGAAAATAAAAAAAACCAAACTCAAATAAAGAAAAAATCAAAAAATCAAATCTAAACTCGTCCTCCCTTTACGTATAGTTATGCCCTCATGACTTAATCACTTTCTGTTGCCTCTTCATTACTGCTCACAAAGACTCTTGCGTATTAGCTCCGTTGCTCCTTCGTAAAGCCAAGTAATCGAATAACAAACCTATCTAAGCGCTTGATTTAAAGGCCGGACTCGGCCACTTCATTTAATGAAGGCTATTCTAAGGATCTCTTTGTCTAAAGCTTAAAGCGAAGTAGTGACGCTTCGAGGGTATATCGCACGTAGAACTTTTTTAATCGATTGCCAGCAAATGTTCTATCTAGCAAAGCCCCGTCTTCTCTTAGCTCTTTCAACTTGTAGTATCCTTTTGTATTTACCGACGAAATTTAATAAAAGCTAAGCCACCGAAAATCCAGTTTCCTGACGTTAGACATATCCACCTTACGTACCGAGTCGTGCTTAAAAACCAAGTCACTTACCTTCAAAGGTCTGATTCGGAGGTTCTTCTTATTATTAAAAGCATCTTTTCCCTTTTAACAGCAACGGGTTTTCTTAAGTGTGGCTTCCGTAACATCTTCGTCTCGCATCCGGAACTAGCGTGCCTTCAATTCGATAAGCTTAGCACGATTAGTTACTAGCTCTTGAAATAACGTAGCTTAAGATTAGATTCGAGTCTCAATCGAAAGCATTGCTTCCTTGCTGTACACTATATAAAAAAAAGTAAATCCGGTAAGAGTATGCACCGAAGTGCGATCGGCGAATAAGACGGCTAGCAATTGCGCAATCTAGTCGGTGCTTTCAAGCTTACTTAATGCGTCTTTAATTAGTCCGTAGCCGCGTTCCACTATTCTATTCGCTTGAAAGTGGTATGCTAAGACCACGACTCGATTGATTCTTTAATTGTTAAGTAGGTCGATTACCTCTTTCTTAAACTCCGAACCTCTATCGACTATTAATTAAAAGAAAATCTTATAGCGGCAGATAATGTCTTTTTAAATAAACTTAGCTACCGAGAGCGAGTCTCGAGTCCGAATCGCCTTCGCTTCGACCTATCTACTTATATCATCCTTAATAATAACTAAGTAGCTCTTGCTATTGCGTGCAAATAGATAAGTGATATCGATAGCTTAGCGTTCTATTAAGCTATTAGATCGGGTAAGATACAATAGTTCTTCGAGCCTATTGGCTGCTCGGTGCTAGCATTTTTTATAAGTCTTGACGAATCGTTTGACGTCCGTATAGCATCCATTCCAAAAGTAGCGCTAAGATACACGGTAGTAAGTTGATTCACGGCCTTTATAACTACTCTTATCGTAACAGGCCGTAATAATGTCCGTTTTAATCGAAGGTTTATCGACCACTAATCGGAAAAGAAGACTTTTCGTCGGGAGTCTCTAAAGTTTCCTATCGTTCACTTCGTATTTAATAGCTTCCCTTTTAAACTTACAGCATTCCACTTTGTTCAGGTCCTTAAGTCTTCGCAAGGTCGTTAAGAAAGTAGCTATCCGAATTGATTCTAAAAAGTATTCGATTAAGTTTAAAAGACTTTCGTAATCGTAATCGTCGTTAGACTCGTCTAGGTTTGCATTCTCCGCTTCCTTCGAGCGTTAGAACATGTCCTTAAGAATAAATTAGCGAATATCTATTAAAAGGTCCGTCAAAGGTTCCTCGAAGCCGTCTCGAGCCTTAATAAGTCTTAAGTCGGCTAGCAAGCTGTCATCGAACTCATTTTTATCTTCTTCGCTTAAATCATCGAGGTGCCGTAGCCGTCTCGATAATGCATTGGCAGCGGTATGATTTTTATCGAGGACATATCGGACCTTAAAGTCGAAAAGATTGATTTAAGCTAGCTAGCGTATAACTAAAGCCGAGGGTATATCGATGGCTCTTCGTCGAAGCTAAGCAACGAGCACTTTAGCGTTAGTCTCGAAAATAAAGTGCACTCCGATAATCTATAGCTTGAGTTTCTTAAAGACCTTAAGTACTCTGCGGCACTTTCGTTTAGTAGCGTCGTAGTTCCGTTTTGCTTCTGTCTAAGCCCTAGACTCGTACCGAGCCGATTGCACCTTGCTAAAAGTAGTCTCGCGTTAGCCGATATATCCTCCTTATCCTTCCAGGCTAGCGTCCGTTCTTACTACTATTTCCTTGTTTTAATCCTCGTAATCGATCTTGATCAAAACCGGAGCCGTCGTCAAAGCATCTTGTAGCATTCGCATAGCCTTCGAATGCGCTTCGGTCTACTGCTAATCTACATCTTTTTTTATAAAATTATAAAGAAGGTCAGCAATGTGTGCGAATCTTTTGACTTAGATGCGAAAGTAAAAGCAAAAGCTTAGAAATCCCTTAACCTTAATAACGTTTTCGAGAGTTTTCTAATTATTGATCTTAATAACCTTATCCGCAGCGGGTTCCCGACTCTTCGAATTGCATACGAATCCTATCATATTCATACTATCCCGACAGAACTGTGATTTTTCTTCGATTGTAACATTAGCGCGCTTAATCCGTTTTAAAGTTTTGTCGATGTTCTAAATGTGTTCGAGCACGAATCGGCGTATACTCGAGAGTGCTTCTTCGTCGGAATAGTCCGTTTGTAGTCCTTTTACCCTAATATCGTCGACAAATAGCATAAAGACCTTGAGTTGCAAAAGACCTAAAATAAGATTAATTATTCGAACGAATTAAGCCACCGAGTTTATAGCACTTTGCGAGAAGGTAGTGCATCGGAGGAGACCCAGCGGTGTAAAGAAGGCGGTAAAGTCTTTACTCGACTGATAGAGTATTTGTTGATCATAGCCCGAATAAAAGTCGACTAAGCTAGCTATCTAGTAACCAGAAAACTCTTTAGCAAACTCATCTATAGTTAAGGGTAGATTAACGTCCTTTCGTATAACTGCATTAAGTAAAGTTGCTGAGTTGATAAGTCGGTATTAGCCCGGCTGCTTTTTAGCTACTAAGAACTATTGATTCCGGTACGGTCTTTCGCAGTACTTTAAAACTCCTTTATCAAGCTTATCTTAAAGCATTTTGATGACAATAAGCTGTAAGGCTTTCGGACACGAGTAGTTCGGAGCCTGCTAAGCCGTGTATAAAATAGTTTTAAGCTTAGTCGGTAGTAATACGTCGTCGTAGAACTTATCGCATTCTTGCTAAGCGAATGCGATCGATTTTTCTTTGCTTAGCATCATCTCTTTAAACAAATTCCTTTCTTTAAGCCGTAATGTATTATCGACATCCAAGTTCGCTATGCGTTCGGGTGTGATTCGAGAGCCTTTCGATATGTCGGCAATGCGCGGAAAAAGGTATTGCTTGTATTTTCCTACTTGCTCTTGTAGCGTATCCTTGGCCTTCGATAGCTCGTACCAATCAACTTTGCTACTTAGTGCTGCTCTTACGCCGTTTGCTTCGTTAACTGGCCTGATCTTTTTTTCTTTGGTCTTATACATGCCGAATACTTTAGCCGAGTCCGAAGAGATCTCTTTTCGAGTCCGATAAAGTGTCGAATTCCAATAGTCGATATGATCGTAGCAACGGATCATAAGGTTATCGGTGCTGATAGCATTTATTTAGCAAATTGTTGAAAGATCGCATTCCGTAAAAGCAAGAACATCGATAAACTACTTTCAAGTAATAAAGTCGTCTCTCCCTCGATATTGCAACGTTTCGCTTTCGAAACTGAGCGAAAAGCAAAAAGCTTTTAGTGTACCGACTTCGGCGCTTTCAACGAGGCCGGTCATTAGTTTTCCGAGTCGCTGCCGCTGCTATTCGAAAACTTATCGTAATAGATAAAGCTTATACTCTGCTCCTTTAAGCGATCGACGGCTTCGTCGTATTGATTCGTTTTATCGCTTACTTTAGTTTAAATAACTTAGCCCGTAAAAGGATTAGTAACCATTGCAATAACAAGACCACCCTTATAGTCCGAAAAGTATCGAAGACCGATTCTCGCTTTGCGCATAAAAAAGTAACCGAGTATAAGTCGAAACTTTAGCGAATCCATAACGTAGAATCGAGTACGGATCGTAGCACTTCCGATATTAACAAACACATTGTTAGCGTATCCGATAAAGCGCGACAATGAATCGGTGATTGTTCGGAAGCCTATCTCTTAGTCGTAAGCTATAAGAACTTCGAATTTAACCGCGGCGTCATAAGTGATAACGCTGACCTCCGCACCTATATCAAGTGTGACTCGCGCATCAGTGATTAAAGACTGTCCGAGTATACTAACAATGACCTTAAGAGTTGGCGAATAATAATAAGAGTATCTAAAGAATAGCTAGCTAAACGTCGAAGCAAGGCCGATTTCCGCCGAAAAAGGTTCCGAATCACCTCCGATTGTGGTTCGCAAAGTACGCCGATCCTTACGAGTAAACCAGTCGAAAAAGAGATGTTAAAACCAAAAAACACCGTAGAACACGGTTGTAAAGAAAGTCGGAATAAGGCCGATAATAAAAATAAAGCAAAAACGTTTTTAAATCGAAAGCGCTTCGGGTGCGAAAAGCGTATTGCGTCGGCGGTGCTTAGTTTAACTACCACGGATGTTCCTTTGCAATTAAGGCTTGGTTATCTAAGAGAATTCGAATAAGCGTTTAAGCTAAGACCGCTGAGCAATAGCATCTTTATATAAGATCCGTCTTAGTCGGGTAAAGACTTATGTAAGGTCTGCCTCACCGGTAATTCGGCCGTAAGTCGAAGTAGCAAAAGAAAGAAGAGGTGGTAAATTCTTGCGATAAGGCGCTTCACCGATAAAGCGACCCGTAACTCTGCAAAATAGATCGCCACCAGATAAAGAAGTATTACTTTCTTTATAAATAAGTCGCTAAGACCCCGAAGCAAGTCCGTCTCTTACCGGATTATCCGTCGCCTTCGGTATAAGCTTGCTACTTATAATTAAGCAATCCTCCGAGGCTTCCGCAACGCCAACCGTAGCCTAAAAGCAGTTAATAGCGCTCTCGCTAATAAGGGTTTGCTGAATTATCTTATCGATCATACCTTCGAAAGAAGATCGTTTAAAAGTAAAAAGAGCAGCGAAGAACGCAATAGTCTCACCAAAGGTTAGGTTCCTAAGCAAATCGCGCCCTTTTAAAAGCTTAATACGAGTCGCTTCGTAATCCATTCTTAAAGAAGAGATCACCTTGCCAAGCCCCTCGTATAATTTAGCAGTCTTAAAAGGCTTGGCCTTAAGCTTAAGTGCAGCCTTAAAAGCTTTTGGCAGTGTGACGAGAAGATTCCGTAAGTCCTCCGGTCGTGAAGCGTTTCGGTTAAGAATCGCGATGTAAGCGGGCTCGGGCTTATCCATTTCTATTAGTTTAGCGAAAGTAACCTTAAGCTAGCTATAAGTAAATTAGACCTTTGCTTTTACCGAAAGAGCGTCCCTTAACGGGTATAGCGTAACTCGAAAAGCCGCGTTGCGCGCCCGAGTCTCTACCGGTGCAATAGTAGCTTCCGTATTAAACACGTAAGCATATAAATTCGCCGTCGTAATGCATCGCTAGCGAATCATGTCCGAAGTATTAAAGTCGTCAATACGAAAAGCTTCCGCACTGCCGCCGTTAGCTGCTCGAATAAGTGCTTTGGCGCGTTCTCGTGCAGCTTCTTTAATAGATTCTCGTTATGCCTTTAAAGCTTTATGACGACGCTTTAGATTAAGATCATTTATCGTTCTACGAACCTTTTCTAGAACTTGCTCGTACTTAAAAGTGTCGTTTCGGAACTGAAACGAGATCGATAGTATCTCTTTTCGATATAGTTTTATACACATTAAGTCCGCTTTGTTAAAGTAAAAAGCTAATCCGTACTAAAGCATAAACAAATAGCACTGATTCTGATATTTATAAGGCTTTTGTTAATAGCCAAGTAGATCAGAAGTCTGCTAGCATTAACAGAAAATACAATTAAAATCGTTTAAGGACCGTTTTCTTCTCGATGTAGCGTAGCCTCGGTTCGAATAAGTATCGGCCGCATTGATCTCGTGGACCCGGTGCAAAGCAATTTCTTAAGTCTCTCCGTATTAAGCAGCTTTTAATAGGTTCACATAAGCCTCTTTCGGTACGAAAGCGAAGCTGTCGGTGAGTCTTAAGTGAATACTAACCTTCGCTAGCTGTTCCGTAAGAGCCTCGATCCTTAAGTTAAGATCGATGAACGGAGTAATCGAACTCGCAGCGGTGGTGCTTGCGCGGTGAAAAAGAAAAGGATAAGTACCACCGGAGTAAATGCTATAAAAGAGCGAAACGTATAAGTTCCGCTTGCTCTCGAGAATGACAGACGGTACTTAAAGACGAGAGTTTTCGTTCTAATAAAGGTCATAGCGAGAAAAAGCTTCAAGGATCTCGGCGTAGCCGTATTCTTTAATCCGTTCCGCAGTGATTTGTTTTTGCTTGATTAAGTCGCTTATTATAATATACATTATGTTATACGTTTGCAAGTGATCTTCCTTAAGTTTAACGTTCTTTTAAGTCCGATTCTGCATCGATAGTAATAAGCAACCGAAGAACTTCTACTTCAGCTGCTTATCGGTAATATCCTTATTAGTTAAGCAAGCAAGGCCCGTAAGGTTGAACTGTCGAGTGAACTGTAGAAGCTCCGCCTTAAAAGCTCCTTCCCTTGCTATCCACTTATTGCTTAAGTCGTTCAAGAAGCCAATACTATCCTTCCACCTAGCTAGGTCGAAAGCCTTGTACTCCTTCTTGACCACCGATTTAAAGTCGTCCCAAGTCACTTTCGGATCCGAAAAGCCACCGAAGCTCTTAATATTGCAACGTATATTATAACCGAAAAGGCTAGAAATATTGTATTCAGCAAAGCACTGCTTCTTCTCCGAATCGATAACGATACCGTAGTCTTTAAACGCTCGTTCGAGCTAGCGAATGTGGTCCGTAATGTTGGCCTTGTCGAAAGCAGGCATTCTAAGGGCTCTAGGTCCAAGGAAAGGTCTACGGATACTCACGTAATTCGAAGCATTTACGAAGGGTAAGAGGGCCTGAATCCTTTTCACTTCGTCCTCGGTTATCTTACGAATAGCATCCTCGCTAAGTCCGAAATCCTTTTGAGTCGAGGAAGTCATAGCTCCTTTTGATTTTCGAGAGCTCCAACGTAGGCCCGCCAAGTTGAGTTGATAGATGTCGATTAAGGTGTAAAAGTGTCCCGAAACGGATGCGAAAAGGGAATCGAGAATGATAGAATAATGTAAATGTGAATGAATAACAGAAATGAAATAAGTACAATTTGTAATAAATATTAAATACACAAGGAAATGTTGTAAAGATATAAGATCCCGATGCGTCGAAAGTGATTCATTAAAGAGTCGGGTGTCGATCGCGTCGAGCTAGATAATCGAAACCAAATCGATACAATAGACGATATTAATAATACGTCTAATTCTATAACGCAAGATCCGTAATAAGCGGAAGAGTAATTGCCGAGATTAAGTGTATCGAAATGAAAACGAGGTCGAGTAATAGCCGAGCTTCCGTACAAGCATATGGCCTGCCTCTAATATGATGCGACACCGAAACGGTTCCGAATCGCAAACACTTATTTCCGCTCGTCGTATCCTTTATTTGCCGAAGCGAAAGATGATCGAAAGCAATTCGAGGTCTTTATGCGTAATCTCCGTTGCGAAGTAAGTGTTGAATTTTCAACTTTTTAAGCTTAGCGTAGTATTTCCGGTACCTAGCTACTGCCCACCCTTCCAAAGAAGAAAGAACAGTAGACTCGTACTAGAATCGATGTTGAATCGAAAGGGTGAAGTATACTAAACGAATAGTACTTCGGGCGTATCGCCGTGCAGAGTGGTCTAAGTGAATAGTACTTTGTGAATACCGAATTGAACTCTAGCTAGCTCGATCCTCGAACTAGAGTAACGACTTCTTAAGTGGTACCTATCGAGTATACCGAATAGCATGCTCGACGGACACAAATCGAAAGAAGATCGCCTTTAAAGCAATAGCCTCGAAGCTTATATGCAAAAGCACCTGACTGTTAGCCTAGCGTGTGTCGAATACCCTTCGAAGGAGTACCGCAAAAGCACATGGTCAATAGCCCAGCGTATAACGTGAACTCCGAATATATAGCTTTTCGCAAAAGAAGCAAGTCTGAAGAGGGTATGAAGACCAACCTTTTGTTCGATTCCTTGCGTAAGTCATTAAATATATATAAAGGGGAAGAGCTCCGACATATACCCAACGTTAAATCAAGAGATATATATGAATATAGCTATAGTAGAATCGTAAGTGAATAAAAGGGGAGAAGGAGGACGATCGAAAGACACTCGAATGTGTGCTATGAGTACGTGTATTGTATTGTGTAGTGATAAGATGGTGCTGGTTCAAGGAAGAACCAACTACTCGTCTATATAAGAGCCTGCACGTGACCTAACCACGTGCCTAGCAGGGCCAGAGCATGCAGCGCACCCACGTGACAAAGGTGCCTAGCATCAGTACTATATACATGGACAAAACAAATACAGAGCCCCAACTCCACCACAATATGGATATATATACATACATATATAGATATATATCTTCGCTCTTATATACAGGCCCCAATGCTGAATCGCACCAGGGACACGCGGATCCGGCACGCCAAGTCTTACTGTGTCAATCGGAGGAGGCGCTTGGTCTTGTCGGAAAACTCGACGGACGGCTTTGGGGAGGCGACGACGACGACGACGACAATATTCTGCGGCAACGGGCAATCGCCGAGCAGTGAGCGCCTCCTCTCACCCAACTCGACTTCGCGCGTCGATGCTGACCAGATAGGCTCGCGAGATGAGAACACCATCATGAGCAGTGCCGACGATGCAGGGACCTCGGGTGCGATTCCAGAGTATCCTGCGGCGGACTTTCACGTTGGGCCCACGGCCTGGGACTTCCAGTCGATAGGATTCATGGAAGATGCCCAGCTATGGGCTGTCAATAGTGGTTTTCTGCTGAATGGGACCGGCGCAACTGGGCTAGCGTCTGCCTTCCCCGACGCAGATTTCGATACGGCAGAATACTTTGGTAATGCTCAGGATGGAGGCAATCGCACCGGTGCCCGCGGATCTGGCACGACATTACCAGTCCTGATGGATATGCGGGACCTGTGGTTCACGAAGATACAGAGATCAGATGAGCATAGTCGCCGTGTCACTCGGCGCTTCGACAGCGTCTCCAGCTCAAAACTAGCACCCTCGCCCAGCAAGTCCGAAATCGTGGATCAGGAGTGCCACCGGGAGCTGACGAGACTCTTGATCCGCCCACTTCCACCTGAAGATCTGCTTCCGTCCTCGGGATTCTTGGTAGGCAGTTGCTCGCACCTGGCTCGCTAGAGGAACATGGCAACTGACGGGCACTAGAACCTCTGCGTACGCCGGTTCTGGAAGTGTTTCAATCCGATCTTTCCGATCCTGCATGAAGCGACCTTTCAACCGACGGCGGAGAATGGACTGTTGCTGATATCCATGGCATCGGTTGGATGCTTATTTCTCGGCTCACAGACTGCTGTCCAACGCGGTCGGCGCATATTCGAAGGCTTGAATAAGGTCATTCTCACATCGGTAAGAGGGTAAGTTCACAAGTCAAGCCACACTTTTTCTCATCCGAGGACAGAACAATTCAATGAGCAATACAAGAGCCGAGATGATTGCGATGGTCCAAGCCGCTCTGATTGGACAAGCGTTTGCTATGCTGTCTGGGGTAAAGTTTTCATATTCGGAGAGCAAATATCTATTCTAACATGCGAGTAGGATGCGAGGCATTTTGCCATCTTTGATGGCTACCATGGGTCGATGATCTCGGTACGCTAAACCATCAAATCCGCACGAAAACTGCGAGAAATTGTGACTGACGATTTTTAGTTCGCTCGCAGGGAGGACGTGTTCAGCGGCCGGCACATCCCAAGATCTCTCGAGAACCTATCCGAGGAAGAGCTGGACCGGGCATGGAAGGAGTGGGTGCGAGAAGAAGAGTTCCTGCGGTCCGTCCCAGCTCTGCTCACACCAACACGTATTCCTGCTTATCATGCATAATAGAATCGCGCCGGCCTTGAAGATCCAAGACGCAGAACTGTCGTCGTTGCTTCACCGCGATTCCCTTCTGAAACACAGAGCCCCGGCAAAGCCACTCTTGACAACAGACCGTGCTTTCGGCGCCGCTTCAGCTTCCGAGTGGCTTTCTGCTGTGAAGGCGGGAGACTCATCACGGCCAGCTGCCGATGGAAACACCCATATTCCACGTACCTCACCCGATGCATTCGCCGCCTACCTCCGACTCGAAAGTCTAGGCGTCACTATAGCCGAAGACCGACGGCAAGGCCACCTGAACGAAGAGATCTCTCGCAACTACCAGCACACCCTGCTACAGTGGTATGCGACGCACAACCATACCGACCAGAGCTCAGGACCGGGCGGGGGCGCGCCGCCGGACCAGCTCTGCCTGACATCCCTGTGGCACTGGACCTTCGTCGCACTGTCCGTCGATCTCGACCAGCTGGAGATCGCCATCGGCCGCGACGGGCCTGACGCTGCCGCAGAAGCCCTCTCGTCGTACGTCCGCCCCTGGGCCTCGACCTCCGACGCGGCGCGCTGCGCCATGCACGCCTTTGCACTGCAGAGGAATCTGCAGGCGCAGCGCTTCGACGCTATCCCTGCTATCCACGTCCCCCGCACGCTCTTCTCGGCTGCAGTCGTGTGGTACTGCTTCGTGCGCTACGGCCCGGGGAACAACTCGCCACAGCTGAGACTAGATCATCGCCCCTTTGCGGTCGGCAGCTGGCCCGAGTTTGCCGTCTTGTCCGGCTCGGCGAGGGAGGAGCTGGTAGCCCTCTCGGACCTCACCTGGAATCGCGGCGCGACGTCGGCTGTTACGGCGGCGACGCTGTGCGAGTTGGGGTGTCAGCTGCAGCGGATCAACGTCTGGGGCTTGGCGGGTAAGTTTGCAGGTATTGTCGCTCGGCTTCTCGATGGTTGGGATTAAGGAGAGTGGGAGTGGAAGAGAGAGTGAGGGTGAGAGCGAGGAAGAGCTGGAATGTAATAGAGTGGAAGAGATGGATAGCAAAGATTGTTGGAATGTACATCGGGCTCATTCTGCTGATTGTATAAGGAGTACTTTTTGCACATAGGCTAGGTCATGTTATGAATATTATGAGTGATAAATAGGTTATTGGTTTGTTGGCTAACGACATGCAACAAATCAGCTTTGGATAAATGATCGTTTGGTTATGTTTGTTTATTTGTTTGTTTGTTTGGTTGGTTGTTTGTCTATCATTCTCTTCCGGGAACCACGATTAGATATGTATATAAAGAAGTGAGAGAAGGGAAGAAAGAAAAGCTGCTGCGGCTGATTCTCATCCTTCCATTATAGCGCAGCTAGGAGTGCCTTTCTTCAGGTAGTTTTCCATATACATTTCTTTTGTATATATTGCTATGATTTTGACTATGGAACTCTACTTCTACTAACGTACCTTTAAGTCCATTCTAAAAATATCTATATAATAAACCTTGAAATTTTAAATACGACTCCAATTTTGATTCATATTCCTATAGAAGACAGATATTCGCTGAATTTCGAGAACAGAATAGGAACTAATTCGTAGAGCGTCTCGGAAGTTATCCAAAAAAAA